AGAACAGCACAAATAGATGATATCCAGTAGCCTCAGAATGAAAAGCAGACTTAGTATGGATTATAAAACTGTTCATGATGGGGCCTCTTGAGCAGACATCTCATTTATGTTCACTTTCCACACTCCTTGGCCTTACTGAAATATTGACTCTCCCTCAAATCATGAACTCTCCGGATCTCCTTGCATTTTTAACCCATCTTTCTTTCTACTTAGAATATCCTATGTAGATTATGACTCTTTGTAACTGAGTAGATCAACATGAATCTAGAGTGATTGCCTTTCTAACTTCCGACTATCATGTGCCAGCCCTAAACTGGGCATCAGAATGGTTGCCAAAGGGAAGAGCTCAAAGTGAGAGGTAGGACCCAGGCATTTACTAAAAGTGAGCTGCTGCTGTCCCCTGCTGCTGATGGGAGAAGCAGGCAAACAAAATTCCTTTCTGTGTTTTTTATTTAAATAATCTCAGAGAAACTGTGCTAAGGGAAAAGAAGAGAGGTAAGGAACAAAAAAGAAGTAAGACTTAGTTGTAAATCACAAATTAATCAGCATGTACCAAACATAGAAATAAAATTTTGCACTTAGTTAATAAGTCTTCATATCCAATTTTGTTTCCAAAAGGTGAAACCACATAGCACAGGGAACTCCAAGGGAACAGCTGCTAAAATTCCTAAATGAAATGGTGAGTTAGGGATAAAGCCAAATTTTAAAAGAATAAGAACAGTATTGCATTCAGGCATGGTATGAGAACATGTTGCATGTTTCTTACGTAAATACATTCCATTTTATATGGTCCTAAGAGATGGCTGTTACCAAACTCATAGATATCAGGATTCTGGGGGGAAACAAACAAATCCTAGAATTGGATAACTCATAAATCTTTATTGGATAGCATGCCCACTTCCCGAGCAATACACATTAATCTCAAAGATAATTTTTATGACACTTGTGACTATTGCCTATAAATCCTTTTAAGATGGGAAGCATAGCCACTGGCATGAGTTGAATAAGAGGATTTACATAGCTAAATTACTCAAGACTATAAAATGTAGAAAAACAAAAAACAGTTTGGATAAATCTTTGGAGCATGTAGCAATGGAATTCAACCTTCAGGGCCTTTGGCTCAACATTAAGTTTCAGACCCAGACCTTTCTTAGAGTGCTTAGAGGTTTTAAAACTTCTCTCTATAAACAATACTTGAATAAACAAAATGGATTTATCATCTCAGCAAGGGGATCTCAAGCAGATATATATAAATTGAAGAATTTTAGGAATGGGCTTCCTTAAAGGTAATAGTCAAACCTCATCATTTTATAAGAAAACAATGTCTGGAAGAGATAAAAATTGTATGACTCACCCAAGGTGATATGATTCATTCTCCATAAGCATCATTATCATCATCAACATCATCATCAACTTCATCATCAACATCATCATCATCATCATCACTAATATTTATTCAGCACTTACTATTTGCCAAGCACAAGACTAAGTCCTATTTTTCACACCTATTTACAAAGGGTGTACCAGTATCACCCCCATTTTCTAAATGAGAAAAAGGAGCCTCAAAGAAGCAAAGAGTTATAAAGGTACATCCAAATATCAAACACATAGTGTAACCCTAAAGACACATTTGTAACCACTCCACTCTCCTGTTGCATCATCAGAACCAGAATCATGTCTAGTGGTCCCCGTGTCAGAGAAAGACACCAGCTCTCACTTTGGCAATGGAGTTTCCAAGTTATAAGATGTGCAATGTCTGACAGTAAATCTGATGAGGCATTCTAACAGTTACAGGTCTGAAAGAAAGGAGTCCCTAACTGCCTAGTACAATGCATGCCTTCATGGCTGCTGTACAAGAGCAGTTACTATAAATTATATGTGTCTATAATTCTCTCAGGAGGTTAGCACTATAAAACATCTTTACATTCATGCTTGAAAACAGTGGTTGACAACCTTTTGGACCTTACAGACCACCAGTGGTCCAAGACCACCAGTTGGCAATCACGGCTTTATTATTTATTTATTTATTTATTTATTTATTTATTTATTTTTATTAAATTATTATCTGTGTACATATTTTAACATTGCCCCCGCCTCCCATACATACCCTCCCTCCCCAGATATAAAGACAGTAAAGCAACAAGCAGACTGTCAAATTACAGCAGGGAGGGTAGGGAGATCTGGGGGAGATAAGAGATCAACCGAAGGATTTGTATACATGCCTATAAGTACAACCAATGGACGCAATCACTGCTTTAAAACACATTGGAGAAATGTCATAGGAAGCTTCATATTCTCACTTTGGTCTTCTATTATCATGTGCCTTTTATGGCAGGTAGATTTCAGGAGGATTATTAGATTATATGAGAGGTGCCCTGTGTGATGAGAATGGTCACAGATGCAGAACTGACAATGTTTTCATCTCCGTTGATTTATTTTTATTCCTCATTAATTTATGTGATATTCTACTTCTTCAAATCACCAGGTCCAGGGAGGGAGGATAACAATTGGAATGCTGAAGCAAAAATGATGGCTCCAAGTAATATTCAGATTTTACTTATATACAGATTTAAAGATATTTATGTATGCAAATACAATAGGCAGTAATGATAAGTATAAATAATTAGATATCTGCAGAATTAAAATGCACTTAATTCTCTAAAATATATGAGCTTCTCTCCTTCTCAAATCCTATCCTTCAACATCTCTTTCCTGCACTTCTACAACAGCCCCCAAACTTTTCTGCTTATTCCCACTCTTGTCCCCCTACAATCTATACTGCTCCAGCATGAAATTTTCAAATTCCCATTAAAATATATCAATGGTTTGGCAGTGATAATTATTAGAAAAAACAATCACAATAAAGCAACTAATATTTATTGAACTACTTTCTGGTAGCAAGCAAAGCAATAATAACAAATATCTTTAAATTCTGGGGTTGTAAAGTTCTCACACAAAGATCTCTTCTGGTCCCAGAATGGCCCTGTGAAGGAAGCAGTTCCATCACCTCCCACATCTATATATGATATATAAAAAGCCTAGTGTGCAAAGTGTCCCCTTGGGAGTTTGATCACTCACTATGGCATGCACTGACCACCAGGTGGCAGCATAGAATGAAGGGAGGCCCTGGCTGGCAGCTGACAGCTGCTAGTGATCTTACCCGTGCAAGAATTTCTTGCACGGGGCCTCTAGTCTACTAATAAAAGAAAAACTGGGTCGTAGAGGGGGATTAATGATTTTCTAGCAGTTGGGTAGCCAGTGACCCTGAAACCCACCCTCGGCTATGGCATAGACTGCAACCAGAGTTGGATGGCTACCATGGAGTGCAGGGTGAGGCACACTGTGAAGAACTCAGAAGTGATCTACAGACAAGTGATGATGGGTGCTGCTGTATGGCCACCAGCCATTCCAGTGTTTCTAAGTTTTCCATTTGTTTCAGAGACTCCACTGGAGGGTGAGGAGCAGGACTCATCCCACACATTTAATTCCATCACCAGGACTCATCCCACACATTTAACTCCATCACCGAGACTCATCCCACACATTTAACTCCATCACCAGGACTCATCCTACACATTTAACTCCATCACCGTTGTGACCACAGTCATCACAAGCACATCCAGCTACAAAGGAACACACCAAGGCCAGCTGCAATCACCTGGCTCCTGCACCCACTCAGGTAAGCAGGAGCCAGGAGCCAGGATTCATCTTTACCTGATGCTCAGGTTTTCACAACATTAATGAATATGAGACACTGTCGATAGGAGATACTGCCAATCACAGGTGCAGCTACTGGCAGCCCTGAGCCCTCAGGTTACTGGGCAGTGGCCTTTTATCAACACCCACCCAGTACCATTGCCTTCCTGCTATCTCACAGTCGGGGGAAGCTTAGGGTCATTTCGTGCACAGATATGGTTCCTTCCACACTCATATGCTAAATGCACCCTCCACAGAGGATGGCATGCTATTCTGTGTGGCTGTCAATGTCACTTCAGGGGATCGGGAGTCTACATGCTGGTTTTAAGAAGGAAAAACTCTAATAGATGCTATTCTTGCAACATCCAAGATTTAAAGTAATTCCTTCCATAACATTCCTCCTAGCAGAAAGAGAACCAAAACTTCCTCTAAGTACAAACTCATTCCTTGAACACCAGCTTAATAGCTGTGATTACCCGCCTGCTTCTTCAAGTGAAACTTCACAATGTAAAACTATTTTTACCAATAACAGTAGCACTGAAGAAGCATTTGAGATCTTACTTCTCAGTAGCTGTCATCAGTTTGGTTAAAATAAACTCTTACAAAACAATTTTTTTAAACTAGCTCTACAGCCTTGGCTAGTATGGCTCAGTTGGATGGAACATTGTCTGGTGCACCAGAAAGTTGCCGGTTTGATTCCTGGTTGGGGCACATACCCAGGTTGCGGGTTTGATCCCTGGTTGGAGTGCATGTGGGAGACAACTGATTGATGTTTCTCTCTCTCATGGATGTTTTTCTCTCTTTCCCTCTCTCCCTTCCTCTCTCTCTAAAATCAATAAAACCAGGTTTTAAAAACAATAGCTCTAAAGATGTGGCTTTCCAGGTGACTCAAAATTTCTGAGATGTTATAAAGTTAATTTAAAATCAAAAGCAGGTGAACTATACTCTGAATATATTTTATGTGAACTGGCATCAAAAACCAATAATTTAACAAATTATGAATCCTAAGTGAAATTCACCATTAGAAGGAAATTCCATTTTATTATATTCATTTTCAATGTATAAATAAAAATCACAGAAATTCCTAGATTATGTCTATTAGTCAAACATCATTTTAAGCCATTCTAGCATAAAACTAATTATATATATAATTACATATATATATTTACATATATATTTAAATAAATGGAACAAAATAGGAAGCCTTATAGAATGTTTTTCAAAAATTTAAAGTATAAAGCTCATCAAGTAAGTTCATGATTTAAAATGAAAAACAAAGGTACTCCTGGGGCAATAATATTTACCTTCTGGACACTGGCAGGTGAATCCACTGAGATTAGAAATGCATGTTGCTCCATTTCTGCATGGGTTTAGGATACAATAATCAATCTTGGACTGGCAAAGCTCTCCAGTATAACCTGAACAGAATAAGAAAGGTATTTTATATAATAACAAGAGAGGTATTTTATTATGCCAAAGCCACCATGAGCCATCCCATGAACTGATGGAGTTAAGTGATGCAGCCCTGTCCAGGTTGAGTTTCTCAGGTGAGTGGTTCTCCACTGGTGATTCTTTCCCCGCAGAACATCCAGCAATGTCTAGAGACATTTATTGTCACAGCAATGGGGGTGCTATTGACATCTAGTGGGCAGAGGCCAGGGATGCTGCTAACCATCCTACAATTCACAGGACAGTCATCAGCAACAGAAATATCCAGCCCAAAATGTCCCTAATGCGGAAGTTAAGCATGCTGGTTTAGGTCAATGAGACACTCATTTTGTTCCAGTGCCTCTCATCATTCATTAAACAGAACTTGGTCCTTTTACAAAGCAGAGAAATAGCTCCTTCAGAACATTTTTCAGAATCCTTCGGAATATTTACAACCTCTAGAAAGTTAAAGATCATTTTACAATTAATTATTTGAATATATAACTTCAATTACTGAGGTATTTATAATTGTGATATTCAATAAATAAATGAAATAATTAGCTCAAAGACAGATGACCATTGAAAGCACTGATGTCTCCTTATAGGGAATTAATCACAAAGATTTATAATTTCTTTGACAAACATTGTAGCAAACAAAAAGGATATAAGAAAAGTTGTGCCTCAGGATATATAGTAAAAATATCTTTTGAGGCCGTGGCTGGTTTGCCTCAGTGGATGGAGTGTTGCCTGCAGACGGAAGGGTCCTGGGGTTCTTTCTATTCTGGCCAAGGGCATATGCCAGATTGAGGGCTCAATCCCCAATAGGGGGCATGCGGGAGGCAGCTGATCAATGATTCTCTCTCCTCATTGATGTTTCTATTTCTCTATCTCTCTTCCTTCCTCTCTGAAATCAATAAAAAAAATTGTTTTAAAAAAAGAATGTCTTTCAAGGACATATGAGATGAATGGAGAAGCTCTAAATTGAGGCTTGGTACTTTTAGCAACTGACCCTGAGAAATGACATTAGATAAAATCAAGTTTGTATGCTAGTACATATAGCCTGGCAGATGGAAGAAGACCAGACACCATCAAGGAAATGCATTGGGCTATAAACTTATTCAGTGAGCTCACTACCAGATTACATCTGGTCTGATGTAGACTTAGAGTATTTAATTCTATACTAGTGTGTATTTAAGTATAAAAATATAATTTTAAATTTATCAGTGTATGGAAGGAAAATAGCTAAGCTCCCTGTGAATGTCAGAATGGCTTCCAGGAAAACTACATTCTGGTGATGTTTTTTGACTGTTTTCAACATAGCAAAAACCCACCCCACTTCCACCAGCACCCCCACTCAATATCTATATTGCCATACTCTTCCAATGAAGGAAAACCTGGTGTTTATTGGCAAATTGCAGGGGCATCCTCAGTTGGGTTCTATTATTAAAAAACAAAGCAATCGATCAGTGGTTTTCCTAAACCTTCTCCTTCCCTGCACAACTATTTTTGTGTATTATGTTTTCTTCACGATTTTGCTACTGAAATAAAAATAGGCCTCTGCTGTTGCCTTCACTCTGGGGGCAGAATGTAATGGCTTCTTCAGAAGCTTCTAGGGTGAGAACTGTAATGAGAGCTCTTTTTAACATTCCTATCTTTTAACAGGCTGGCCTGGGTGGTGAGGCCGCGATGCTGGGTTTGTCCTGAGAGCCTAAAGCCCCAGGAGAGCCCACCAGCCCCAGCCCTTGCTCTGGGGGAATCTGAGCAGCCAGGGCTGCAGCTCAGCCACTGTTGCTGAGACAGATGCCTAATATTAGCAACTGAAGTAAGACATAAATAGCAGGGACCCGCGTGCCATCAACACGGTCAATCTCAGAGGCATCCAATATCAAAGTCGAAAGGCAGGAATTATTTAACAGAAAAAATGAGTAAGATCTGCTGGCAGAGAAAAAAACAAAGGCATCTGAACAAATGGAAGCATGATTTAAAAACCAAAGGCAAAGAACAGAAGAGCTCGAAGGCCCTCCTGTGAGAGGAAATGGATAAATTATAAAACGGGACTATGGGTAGGAAAGCATGAGAGAAAGCTGACAGCACAATTAGGAAAATTAATCTCAAATTAATCTCAACAAGTACACAGGCAAAAGGCACAGTGGGAAGCACAGTGGTTGGAGGAATGAAAGGTCCAGGATGATGACGCACCAATCAGCTGAGTGAGCAGGGCAATTCCATGGCCTTTGCCCTTCATTTCCAGGAGGTAAAATGGGGGTAATAATACCTGCCCCCTCCGGGGTGATTGTAATGACTGAATGAGAGCAACGCCAAGGAGCAGGAGTCGCTCATATCAAAGGCAGCCTTGAGTCCACAGTAGCTTGCACCACGCCTGGCTCAGTATTTTTGAATGAATGAATAATTTATGGATTTTAACACTGCCATGCAATGTGCCAATATTGCTTGATCTCCACTTTGAACAGGCAGCAGAGAGCAGCGGTTCTCGCAGTGTGGTCCCCACCCAGCAGCAGCAGCCTCCCTGGGAACTGGCCACCAATGCAAAGTCACCAGCAGCACCCAGACCTGGGGAATCGGAGACTCTGGGGGTGGGGCCCAACAATTTGAGTTTAAGACACCCTCCGGGTGATGATGACACAAAGTACATGCTAAAGTTTGAGTACATGTGCATGCTAAAGTTTCTGGCCTGGAAAACTAGCAGAAAACAGTTTTTAGTAGCAAATATGAATATTTGTCATTTAAGAATTACACATGTAATGTAGATAACAAAGCAAAGGGATCAGAGAGTGAAGGTCAAATAAAATATATCATGTCAGAAAGTCCTCGGGGACTGCACTGTCCACACATGCTTTTTATTTGATGAGTAGGAGCCTCTAAGGCTCAGTTGCTGTGCCTGTCATTGCATTGCTTGCGGATATGCTTCCCTATTCTTTAGTGATTTTTGTCCCGAGCTCCCAGCACAGAGCCAGGGACACCACAATACCCATTATATAGTCATTAACGACTGCCTAAGCACCGTGCACTGCTATTTTTTTAGGTACTCTCTTTCATTCTACTTTCCTCAAACCTAAATAAGAAACAGTGATATTGATATAAGCCAGACAGCTTATGACACCTGAATCTTCTAATCTGGTGATTACAAAGGGGAAGAGATTTCAAGAAAGTTCTTTTCATTTGAGTAGGTCCCGATGACTCGCTGAGAAACTTAAATCAAAGAGGAAGGAAACCAGAAGTTAATTAAGAAATACACCATGGGTCAAATAAATTAAGGGGTGGACTTAAAAATATTCATCAGTTGAATTCTAAACCAAACTACAGAGGAGGCAGTCAGTCATTCTTTCAGAAAGGTTTGTGAATGAAAATTCAGGGGATGTAAAGGAAGTCTGCAAACAGTTCCTGCCTGCAGAGAGCTTGCCCTCCAGTGAGGAGAGAACTACAGTCACATGAAACAAACTCATGTGTGATCAAAGCAGGGGAATGGCACCCAGTCAGGCACATTCAGGTTCAAGGCTGGGCCGACCAAAGTGTTGGGGGACAGCGGGAAAGGCTGGGCTGGGTGCAGGTCCTGACAGGCCTTAAGGGCACATGCTGAGGTGCTGGGGTTACCACTCGTGGCAGCGTCTGTGAAGGTTTCTGAACAGCGTGCAGACAGAGAAGGTACATTGTGGATTCATCATCCCCTGTTCTCATTCACTTCAATTTTAGGGGGAGCTTCAGTCTCCCCTCCCTTCTTCCTGGCATCAGGAGCTCTGGTGTAGAGCAAATGAGGGAACTCCCAAGGGGCCATCAAAAAATGGGATGTGGGATGGTGGGAAGAGCCTCGGGGAACGAAGGAAGAGAAAAAAATTCTAATCTTTCTCCTTCAAGAGGCTACAAATATGTGCCCTTAATAGGTCACCTATTCAATGCCAGTTGGGCATGTATGTGTGTGTGTATAGATATGCATTTGTGTGTGTTCATGTGTGTATGTGTATGTATGTGCATGTTTGTGTGTGCAGGTACGTATATGTGTGAGTTCTCTTGAACTCTTACAAAGTCATTACCATCATTCTATTTCACAGATAAGTAAACGGTGGCTCAGAGGAGCCAAGTGCAGCTGGTGAGTGACTCTACCTGGACTGAAACCAGGACTGCAGACTCCAAACCCCCCACTCTTCACTCCTCCCTGTGTCTTTTCTTTCCCTCTCATCAGGCTTGTTTGAAAAACTGTGAGAGCCAGCAAGGCCAGCCCTGAGGCAGGGAGAGGAGGCAGAGTGGCCTGCTGGGTCTGAGGCAGGGAGAGGAGGCAGAGTGGCCTGCTGGGTCTGGATCTCCAGGTCTGGCAGAAGAGAGAAGGAAGTGCTGAGGTCCCACGTGGTCCAGTGTGGCTCACCAGACAGGGAGACCATACGGCTGAGGCCAGCTCTCCAGGTGGAGGAAGTAGCACGGTGCTCAGTGCAAGCAGCCAGCTATGGCCTGACAGTGACAATGACAGCAGCTGACACCTGCTGAGCACACGCTGTGAGCCAGGTACCTCTGTGGGCCCTCCACACTCATCAGTTTATTTAATCTTTACAACAGCTACCAGATTGTGATGCTAGGAATTCTGTCACCTATTGAAATTTACCCAGTGATCATGAGTAATTTCCCCGAAGTCATGCAGAAAATGGGCAGTGAGTGCAGGCTTGACGCTGGCAGCCCACTGGGCTCTCCCAGTTCCGGACTCCAGGCGAGCAAGGCAGCATGGATGGCAGAGAAGGTGGGCAGGCTTTTCACAATCATTCCAGCAGCGGATGACAATGACTCGAATCAGGGCATTGGCCAAGGAAGAAAAAGCAAAGTGCAGGAGCAAATGGGGATCATCATAAATAAAGTAAACTTGGTGGCTATACAAAGACAGATGAGCCGAGGGCATCCATCTGTGAAGACTGAGCTTTCAACCTGGGTGACGAGGATGGTGATGGGACCAACAGAAACTGGAGTCCATCAAAAGTCAGGCTGGCAG